AAAACATCATCATCAATTCTCACAAAATGACCAATCCAGCAAAGCTGATATATTCATTCGGATGCGATAGACATTGCAAACTCACAAAGAACTAAAGATCTTGGGAAGAACTTTTCTTTCAAATGCCATCTATTCTTCTGCACCACACAGAAGTGCAGGTAGATGAGCAACTTAACTTTTGTATGTCTAAGGAGAGCTTTATTCAAGGAGTCAACAAGGAGACTTCAATTGTCTACTGAGCCCATAGTGGCACCTACTGACACAGATAATTATTCATCATTGTGTTTTGTTGCAGCGGTGCCAAGGTAGATGAGACTCTCAACAGATTTGAAAGTATAGTCTCCAGTTACCAAGTCGATGCTCGAGTCGATGCACATTTCTATCAGTAGCCGACATATACTTTGTTTTGTCCTCTTTCACGGCTATTCCAATTTTCACAGCTTCTTTTTAGATAGCGGCAAATGCAGCAGTAATATCACGCTTGCTAAGCTCTATGATGTTGTTGTCGTTGACTTAAGCAAAGACTAGACACATTTGTCGAATATTGTGTATTGGACTACCCTGCGCATAATCACTTCTTTGACAAAATTGAAAAGATTAGGAGATTCGGGATCTCCTTGTCTGCAACCTTGCACAGTTTCGAAAGACTTAAAGAGGCTCGATCGTACCTTGACGGAACTACGGTTATTCTGCAGAGCCATATTAACTTTTTAGGTATATCAAGCTTAAATATGGCGGCTTCGGGATTGTATTCACGGGCTTTTTGTTAGGAATTATAGCAGTGTAAATATCAAATCAATGGTGAAGTGACAAGGCTGAAAACTGCACTGATGAGGTGCAATCAGTAAATTCGCATGTGGCCCCATCTTTTTGCATAATACGTATAGTCCGACTATTATCAGCGTTAATAAAGTCATATCTTGTGTGACATTTAACTGTTGTATTAATCAGATACAAGATCTTTAATATATTAACTTATCATTTAATTTATTTAACTTGTATGAGTAGAATAATAAATTGAAAATATTAATCTCTTGAAATATAACAGAAACAATAAATATGAAAGCGTGACGTAACTTTATCTGTATAAACTTTATTGAGCATTAAGCAGAGCTATTCCGTTCTTACATAAATATTCCACGACATGCCAAATAAAATAGAAAAACTAAAACAAACAGAAATTGCATAAATTGCAAAAAAGTGCTCGGAAAGTAAAGAAAACTATTAGTGCAATTGGAAAACATTAAATTGCAAATGATATCTGCAACAATAAAAACCACACCACTTCACAATGGCGTTGCCATAAAATACAAATCAGTAATCCCTCTGCTCTCCTACGTAAGCACAATGAATGTAGCTGATCTAAAAGCAGAGCAACGGCACCTGCAATAAAGCTGTCAATTAAAACAGAGCGGCATGAGCAGCAAATACAATCTTCACCTCACTCACCCTCGCCCCATTATCATCATTCATCCATTCATGATAGGAAAAACATAATAAATATATTCCATTTCGACCATATCAAAAATGCCCGCTAAAACTGCCAAATGTGAACGCTTACATGAGGCATTTAAGCATTTAAGTGTAATAAAGATCTCAACTATGAAGTGGCATGTCGAAAATGGCGATGAAGCAAGAAGCAAGAAGTGAGCTCAGTCAGTGCAACTGTGCTAATTTACAAGAGACTGTACGAAAAGAGTTCTCATTAAATTTACTAAATGGTTAAATGGTCTTTTACTAAACTATTTTTACATACCAGAGAGAGAAAGAGATGGCAACATCTCTTTATATGTTTTTTTTTTGAACATATAAATACAGCAGGAAATAGTTGAGATCAAATAATTTTAAAAATGTCAGAGTAAAACTGTCTGTACCATACATAAAATAGTTTTAAAGTATTATAAATTAAAAACTAATAACTATCGACCCATAATTTACTTACACACATAGACCCCACCTCCTTTCGTATTGGCTTGTTGCAAGTTTGTGAATGAGGCTGACAAAGCGTTGCTATTACCAATTGGGCTATTAATATGCCACATTTGCACTTTCCACAGTTTAACGTTGCAAAGGAAACAACAAAAAAAAAATAAAGCACAAAAAACGTAAGTATAAAAAATAAAGCAGAAAACCTCAAAAGCAAAACGATTTTCATTTAAAATGTCGTCATATGCCGCAGCGCAGACAGACGAAGTCGAATGAAGAACAAGAAGTAGAAAAAGACATTAACAACCCCGCTTAAAAGTTAGACAGGTTAATATGGTTGCAGTGCAGCAATAAAAACGCAAATACTTAAAAAACATTTAAAAAGTAATAATATAGAAACATTGAAGAATATGTGTATTGTATGAAAGCGAAGGAAAGGAAAAAATTGCGCATGTGTATTGCCAATCAGAGCAGAAATAAGCAGTAGCTCCACCTTCAAACTTGACTATTAATTACAACAATGCTGCCAAGTCCATACAAAAATGAACACATTAGCCATAATATTAAAGCGGCAAACCAGTTTACACTACACAAGTAGAAAGAGAAACCATGTGTTACAAAAATTGGGCGGCGCTTGGCTCAGTGGCTCAATGGCTTAGCAAAGCAAACAACAGCAGCAGCGGCAGTGGAAACTACCATTATTATGGTAGGTTATGCACAGTGCCATAAATCCAATATGAACAATACGAACAATATGAACAAGTGGTGCGTGCGGTGGAGTGCTGCTGCCGCTGTTGTTGCATTTCCAGTCAACAATTTGCCTTGTTATGGCTAAAGAGAACAGCAGACAGCAGAAACTAATTATCATAACACAAGGAAGGAAGTAGTAAAACTGGTTTAACGAGCCACCCCTGCAGAGTTTTGTGTTTGGTTGATTTGAAAATCAAGAAGCGGAACAAACGCTGCTCATTTACTAGCTTCCCCTGTCATAGAGCGGTAACGTTAACAAGAGCGCGCGCGTTTTCCATTTGACTAGACGGTTGACACACTGGCGTTTATTCACAAAAGACGTTGCCAGCTTTTAGTTCACGTTAACACCTCAATTCGTTGTGTTTGTTTTCGCGGTTGAAAATTATTATTGCGTGTGTGGAGCAAACCGCGAAATGATTTTGTGATTTCGGTTGCATTTGAAAGATTTGAATGAAAAAAAAATTTTAAATATTTTTTGAAGCTTAAACAGTGAAAATAAATTGAAATAAATGCAATTAATCTATAGAAATCTTAGCAAAAACAATTTCTTAAAATTGAAAAAAAAAATTGTTTTCTATTAAATCATTTTGTGTGAAAGATTAAAGTTAATCTAATCTAATCTTATTTATGAAAAAACTCTGACTTAAACAATTCATTAATTAACAATAAAATTTGCCAATAAAAAGGCAAGTTTTCTATATTCGTGCTTAAAAAATTATCAAATTGGCGCCGCTACTTACAATGTCAGCTCACGAGGACGATGATCGAGACGATGTGGAGCAGGAAATTCATGTGGATGTTGACTCAGATTCGCGTATGTCTTGTGGCAGCGGTTCGGATGTAGATATGGATGGTGGCAGTTGTTATGATGAATCCGAAACTCCACTAAGGTATGTTGTAAAATCTGGGAATACAGTTATAAGCTCTAGTAAGTGATAAGGAATATCGTAGGGATAGATTAATTTTGAAAGCTCTAGAATGTGATAAGTGATATTGTAGCGATAGATTAATTTTAAAAACTCTAGAAAGTGATAAGAGATATCGTAGGGATAGAATAACTTTAAAATAAACTGATTTTATGAAAAGAATAAATTTAATTGTTCAGTGGCAAACAGATCTTAATTGAATATTTCTCTGGCTATGTAAAATAGTTAAATTAATTAGGGATATTGTCGATATCTGTACAAACAAGAAATTCAATTTTTCCATGTATTTTGTCATAGGTCATTTGTGAATTATTTATTAGAAATCGTTCTGTGAATCCGTCTGGAATACCATTTGGGTGCTTTAAATTGTAATATTTCGCAAGAAAGTGAAAAGCTTGTGATCTTAATATTAGAAATGCTAACGTTTTTAAAAGTATTGAGAATAAATACTTATTTATAATTGAAATGATTTTAGAAGAAAACCAAAATCAGAAAAGAAATAAACTAAAACTATCACAAATTATTGATTTGTTTACAGAATTACCATAATTGCCCTATATTGTTTTACATATGTTTAATTCTTATGTGTTAGTAAGAAGTTATTATTTAATTACAAATATTTTGACAGTTGTAGATTTTTTACTTCAGACAACTTTTTTGAATCAGAGAAAATAGAATCTTGTCGTATGCCGTGCCAGTTAAATGTTTCAACTTTTTCCACTTTGTATAATATAATTGCGCTTTCATAAAAAAACACAATCTTTTCTGTATTAATAAAATTTTATAATACATTTTCAAAAATCAGTAAGAACTGAGAGCTATATACGTTAAACGCCAAGTCAAATCAAGTTACAAAACCCCGACATATAATTTTCTATATAACATAATAACCCAACAGGCGAAAATATCGATAAATTATTGACACTGCATTGATACTTAAGAATCAACCATCGATGCCTTAAAACTGACGAAAACATTAATATAGCATCGATGCCATTGTGATTCTTTTGGCATCGATACCACTATAAACTGCTGGGAACTTTTGCTGCTTTTATAAAAAATTGTTCTTTTTTTTATAACAACATAATTTTTTTTATGCTTTTAGTTAGAACTAAGAGTTAACAAAAATTAAAATCAAACTTACATAAAATATGCCGTCCCGATTTTTTACTCTCGTTATAATATTAAAAACTTTTGTTTTTTTTATAAAACTCTTTTTTTATTTTAATATAATTTTGTTTTTGAACTTTTCTAAAAAAACAGTTAAATTTGGGCACTTACAAAAAATTAAATTCAAATTCCTATAAAATGTTCCGTTTTTATACAAATCTAACATTTGAATATATATATATATATATAAACATTATTTTATAGTCGTGCATTTTAATCACAATTAATACAATTTAAAGACCACGAGTGAGGTAAAGAGTAACAACAAATTAAATTGTTTGAATAAATCAAATCCAAACAAAGTTTAAATATTTTTCATTACTTGTATTTTACTGGTTTCATACCAGTTTATCGATAAAACTTTATCCAATTATCGACTAATTTAAATATTTGCAACTGATATGAACTCATTAAGAGCAACACTTTTGCACTTATTAATCTAAACACTTTCTATGCATAATTAATAAGTTGAGGCTTTTAATTTAATATCCAAAAAATTATTAAATTATTTAAATGAAAAAATATTACCATTGAAAATTAAGTGCCGACGGCTGAAATCAAAAACATTTTAAACTATTTTACGATCGAGTCCATAAAATCTATAAAATCTATAAAATCCGTGTCTTAAACGATGTTTGGTCAACAATGAATTAAAGTTGCTTTTATGGCGAATTGATGTCACATTTAATAGCGAAAACGACTAAAGCTTAAACAAATAAAATTTGTATAATTTACACATTTCCAAACAAATTAGTTTGTCAATTCATTTTCGTAGGAAAGCACAACCCATTAAATGCGCTTTTTTATCTACGATCTTCAAAAAAGGTTGAGAAAGAACAACAACACTAACTGCTGCGCCTGGGTTGCCAGATATCACATACTGGGTCGTAAAGATCACATACTAAAGACAAGAACAATATGCATTCAAAACACTAAAATCAAAAACAAAAACAAAAACAATAATAAGAGCAGTTGAAAAGACAAATAGTAAAGCAAGAAATGGACAGACAAAGATGCATTTATTTACATTTTAATTACGTGAGGCGTGAGACTAAAATGTTTGGCAATGAAGAGAAATTTGTATTTTGACTGATAAATCCTATCGAAAGCAGCTCTCATGTTTACACAAAGAGTCTTAATAAGTGTAATTTAAATTCAGTTTTAATTTTAAAAATTATTTTTAATAAATAAGTTTAAAATAATCTTCACTAATATGTTACAATATAAAAAAAAATATATGCAAATATTAAGTACATAATATTACAAATACAAATAAGGTAGCAAAATTGTTAATATTTAATTAGTAACATATATATTTTGCTATATATAGTAGTTTATTATATTAAATGAATTATTTTTATCATTATCGGGTGCCAATATAATAACAAAATAAAAGCTGTTAGTATAAATCAGTTAAATACGATTTTAGAATAATTTTACTAGACTTTAATTTTAAAAAAAGAGAGAAAAGATGGCAACAATGAGTTAAATGTGAATAATCTTATTGAAGCTGTCACCAATAATAAGCTACAAAGACCATCTTTTTTACAGTGATTTCTTGCCATTAAGGCATTACACCGCGGTGTGCTTAACATATGCATCAGTAAAATGAAACGATAAAAGTGCTATTGAAAATTCCAAATTATTTCGTCGGTACCAATAAAGCAATGCGTTTGGTTATAGTTACTACCTTAGTAAGAAACCAAGCCCAACTAACACGTCTACTGTTATTTGGAGCACAACATCGGGTTATAAAATGCCACACCACATCGAATGAAAGTAATGAAAACTGTTAATCTACTGTTAATCCCCTCTTATGACAGGCATACCTTATTTCGGGAATATTCTAACCCCTTAAATTAGCTTTACCTTGATGGTGCATTATCCCATCAAATAAGATGAAGATGATAAACATTTGTACGCTACCGTTTACTCTATTTACTCTAGGTTACTTTAGATTTGAGGACACTATTTAGTTTTCTAAATAAATTTGCTAAGACTTCAAAATGTATAATCATATTAAAAACGAATATATCATATTCTAAATGTGACCACAAGAAAAATAAAAAAAATTAAAAAAGCTGAATGAAGCTTCAACTAAAAATTGTTAAAGCTTCCAGGAAACTGAATTAGATCATTTTGTTTATATTATATATTATAGTAATCGTGTTGACGTTAAGTTGCCAACATATCAGATATTTAACAACTTATTTATTGACTTATTTATTGATTTCTATTTTCTTCTGCTTACTTAAACTTTTACCACCATTATTGGAAAAGTAACTATAAGACCTTACTTAAAGATGCTACTTGTTAGAATCAAAGTTTTAACTCTTTTTATAAAAATTACTCTCTACGACATTTTAGAACCCATTTTGATCCTCATCAATGAATATGTCACTTGATGTATCGTTTATCTATTTTCTTTATGGACTGTTTCTGACTATTAATTTACATGTCGCTAAATAAATGTAGTGATCGGACAAAGTGTCAATTTTCAGTGACCTGTCCTGAATATATGGTATTAATGATTCGTAATACTATTTGGAGATATTTAACCTTAATAGAAACGATGATGTAGGCAGGCATGCATTCATGTATAAAATATGGCTCCATTTAGTGCTTTGAATTCAACCGAACTGTTCTAATACAAAAATATCTAACAATAACTTTATAATATATGTATTTTGTGATTAATTGTATCACATAATATTCACCATTATCAAAGAAAAAATAATGACATATATATAGTGTTATTTGAGGATTGAGATGATAACATATACCTCCAATAACATAAAGGTACACGTGCATGAATATAAACATAAAATGTTTATATCGATGATCAAAGTATATGAATTGTACTCTGAATTACACTTTTTTCTGACATATCCTTCCGATCTAGCCACCAGTCTGACTACTTGTTCACAAGCCTCACCAAGTGATATTCCGAAGAAAACGTTTTACTTCGCATGATGAAGTTCGCAGATACAGGGGCCTGATATAAGGGTTTCGACGAAACGTGCTATAATAAAACTTTCAAAATGTTAATTTCACTTTGAAATAATTGTATTGAAGTTGAAGAAATATATAAGGTCGGTAAATCACCTTGTTGACATATAACTATTAATTGAGTTGCAATGCAAGCATTTCAGATTTTATTTCAGCTTCAATTGCACTATATTTATGCATACTGCAATATTTTCTTATATAAGTCTAATGAATTCCTTATATTATGTCATGTAGTAACTATTAAATTGTTATCAAAATGTGTTCAATTATTAAAAGGATTTCTCAAAGTCGTGAGTAGCTTACATGAGTAAGCTAAAGTGCCTTAATTCGCGTGTTAGAGTATCACGCAATTGAAATCAATGACATGTGATATGTAAGTTAATTAATAAAATTTTTAAATTTAAATAATTTACATCGTTTAAGTTATACAATAAATTAACATGACTTTTAATGTTTTGCAATTCAATATTTAAGAAAAAAAAACTAATTTTCAAGTGTGCAAATTTTTATGTACTTATCAACGCACCGCGCAGGCCAGGCCGTGGCTGTTTTATAAGCTGAATGCATTCTCTATTAGTTTTAGGCCAATGAATGTACAACTCAAATTAAATTATTTATTCTGCATTCGATAATTAATTTTAAAAGTTTGTTAATAAATTGATTTTTTGACCTTATTACAAATAAATTGTCATTAACTTTAACACCCACAAATTGAAAACATTCAATGACATTAGTTTAATTATATACAGAACATGATAATATATGTGGTTTTAATGCCACTTTGTAAAAAATAAATTCAATATTACAATAACAAGATTTGTTCACAAAAACTAATGTGAATTTAAATATTACAGTGAATCACTACAATCAGAGCAAACACGTTCCTCATCCAGCGAGAATCTACCATTCAGCATATCACGCCTGCTTTCGAAACCCTTTGAGAATAATAACAAAAGTCCTGACAAGGACCTGCAAGCTGAACACGATTTAGCTGCTTATAAACTAGCAACGAGCATAGCGACATCGACCTATGGTGGCGCTACTGCACTTTATAGTTATCCACATTTATATCCCACAGCAGCAGCGGCTGCTGCAGCCGGACATGTACTACGTGTGCCGCCACAAAGAACGCCGCTAACATGGGCATTACCACCGTTGCATCATGCGGCGTTAGCACATCAAGCCGTCAAGGATAGATTAGCAGGTGAGTTGCAATAACTTAATTGTCTGGAAACGATACTTAACGTTTTTTAGTTTTTAATGATTTTATTTTACAAACTTGGGTTTAAGTTTTTTATGGATACTGTTTTATTAACCTTTAATGCATGTTAATGATTATCAAATTGTTTTCCTTAAGTCTATAAAATTTCTGCAATTTTAATATTTATTATAAGTTGCTACTTACTGAGAATAAAAATGAGTAGGATTTTGAAAACATTGTGAATAATATCTAAAAATATGAGAAATAATTTTATAGACTAATTTTTATAAGATTTTAAATAGTTGGGAATAGAATAGTATGTATAATAATTATTAATTACTTGATTAAAAATAAATGATATTCAACTTTCAATATTTTTAAATGTAAAATTTGTTATTATAAATAATTTTACTGATATGGAAGCACTCTCCTATACTGCCTTTACAAATATATTGTCAGACTTCAAGGTTGTTATATAGAATATAACTGAATTATGGTATTGTTCACTGAAATTTCTAGTATTTGAGATAAATTGTATATAATTATTATTGTATATATTATTATTATTGATAGATAGAAAGAAAAGTTCAAAGCGTGTTATTAATAATCTGAGATGAATGAAATCTCATTTGAGAAGACGTTGTTGATTGCAGGGAAGTTGCTCGGGGTCATTACGAACGTTAAAATCAAAAAAAAAAAAATTGAAATAAATAATTAATATAAAGGTTCAGCCTAATTCACATATATCGCATATGTAGAATATTTCATCTCTAAAAATAATGTCATTCTACTACAAAAATCCAGTTTTTAATTTATCTGTTAGCTCAACAGGATTGTCACTTAAAATATAGATGTGGTAAATTATTGTCATACATCATAATCATACATAATAATCTATTTCATTTATGGTTGATCTTCATTTTCAAACTTATTTACTAAAAGTAGGTTTCAGAAATTAACTTTAATAACTTTCTTTGTAATTCTTTTTGAACATTAAAGTATGCTATTCTCCAACTAATAGTTACTTTTATCGGTTAGTTTGATAGGATAGCCACCAAAAATTTTAATGTGTTTGGTGAACTTTTAAACATAATAATTTACTTTATTCACTAACAGTCAATCTTTATTTACTATTAACTTGGTCCTACCAGTTACCACTGTTCATGTGTGTTGTTTTCAAACCTATACACAGAAGTTGGGTTTCAGAAACTGAAATCAATAGTTTTCTGTAAACCTTTTCGAACATACGAGTAGTACTTTTAAAATTTTCTTTTATGTAATTTTTATAGGGAAGTTGTATATTT